AATAAAACAAATAAAAAAAAATTTAAAATAAAATAAATGAGATCAGACAGACTGCTTCAAGCGAGGCAGAATGCTGATCTGATTTTCATGTTGTCTCAGCTCCTCTATTTATACTCGTTTCAACCATACATTCTCATCATTTCAATCATTCGCATCAGTCAAAAACTTGTTTAATGTATATACTGCACTATTATACGGTCTTAACCACAATGCTAACCGTACTAAATTGAAGTCATCGAACGAACGCCTTCGAAACTCTGGTTGGCTGGTCGAATCTGCTATATTGCTTTTCATATAAACATATAATCTAATATAATATAATTTAATTATTTGTATACATGGATTTCAGTCACTTTATATATATATATAATAAAAATTCATTATAAAAGCAACAGTAATCAGTGCTATATATGTAAGCACGCAGTTCAAATTTTTTGGGGAGAATTCAAAATTGTTTGAGACCACACCTTGCTTAACATCCGATTCCAAGCCGAGCCAAGCCAAGCTGAGCCAACATGCATAGATTTAAAAGCGCTTTTATGTTAATATTTTGCTCGCTATATTTATATATTTTATAAATTCATTATAAAAAAAACAACAGTAGCCATTACTATATATGTACGCACGCAGTTCAAATTTTTCGGGGAGAATTCAAAATAGTTTGAGACCACACCTTGCTTAACATCCGATTCCAAGCCGAGCCAAGCCAAGCTGAGCCAACATGCATAGATTTAAAAGCGCTTTTATGTTAATATTTTGCTCGCTATATTTATATATTTTATAAATTCATTATAAAAAAAACAACAGAAACCATTACTGTATATGTACGCACGCAGTTCAAATTTTTCGGGGAGAATTCAAAATAGTTTGAGACCACACCTTGCTTAACATCCGATTCCAAGCCGAGCCAAGCCAAGCTGAGCCAATATGCATAGATTTAAAAGCGCTTTTATGTTAATATTTTGCTCGCTATATTTATATATTTTATAAATTCATTATAAAAATCAACAGTAGCCATTACTATATATATGTACGCACGCAGTTCAAAATTTTCGGGGAAAATTCAAAATAGTTTGAGACCACACCTTGCTTAACATCCGATTCCAAGCCGAGCCAAGCTAAGCTGAGCCAATATGCATAGATTTATAAGCGCTTTTATATTAAAATTTTGCTCGCTTTTTAAACGAATATCCCAATATAACAAATTCTCCATCCTATTTTAACTTTCTTTGATGCTTTTTAATCAGTCAGGTTACAAAAATCATTATCGATATCACAATGAAATCAATTTGAAATTTTTTTTTAATTATTGATAAAATTTTTAAATTGTATAAAAATAACTAGTATATATAGTGTAGTAAAACGTTTAAAATTTTCTGAGAGAGTTCACAATAATTTGAGACTACACCATAACACAATTGTACAATTTGAATGTGTAAATACAACATTATAAATGTATTATAACTACGTGTATATATCTATCTATTTCTTTATTTAGTGCTACCTGTGTATGATATTTTGTCAAATTTATTTGATAGGAATTGAATATAACCTTCATACCATGCAGTAAAATAACTACTGTTGACACCATTTCCTCCAACGATTTCGCAACGAATTGCCCATACCATATAATTAGATAGTCAGACACAATAATTTAGTTTTTAAGTAAATTTTCCTTTTTGTAGCTATACAAAAACATGCCTACCTGTTGCATTTAAAAATTGCATTAATAATAAATAGAAATGAAAAAATTTCTGATGCATCTTTTCACAGGTTTATTTTCAAATTAACTTCACACTAAAATAAATGTAACAATATCCCTATACTCATTGAATAGAACTATTTTGTTTTACAATTACATATATTTTATTTTATAGACTATTATAATTTATAATGCTATCATGGATTACCATTTTATTATTAAAAGCAATACTTAAGAAATGCACAAGTTTCTGTAACAGTTAATAAAATTTCAGATTTCCTCAAAATGTAAAAATGCAAAACGATTGGATTAAATAAAGTGCATCAGACAGGAAATAAATGATTTCAAATGGCTTCCATCAAAAAATGCAAGAATATGCAGTGACCATTTCTGTAATAAAGATTATAAGGGTTATGATGGAGAAAGGAAGGTAATGCTGAAGAAAGCATTCCCATGTTTTCAAGTTAGTTATATTTATATGTCATTAGTTACACAAGGAAGCAATTCACATCATCATTGTACATTGCAACATTCTTATCTATACAAAAAATATAAAATGCATTCAACAATATTCCATGTATTTTATTAAAACTTAGAAAGGGCATAATGACATTGTGAATAATAAACCCTGCTTAGGACTGGGATCATCATCATCATATCAATCACCATTACAAGTAGAGTCAATTTTATATTAATGCTTAACAAGTTAACTGAATTGGCATAATCAAGTTTTTATATGAAATACACATCAAGTATTTAATGTAACAAATAAATTAGCAGAAAAATTTCTGGAAAAGTTTAAAAAAGTTAGAACATATGACTCTGATCAAAAATCATTCGCGTTGACACTGCATTTGTATGGGCATAAGGAATATAATTATCTTTGGACAAATAGCTTACATCTTCCTCACACTAGGACATTAAGAAAGTAATCTTGTCATACCTGTTCAATAATTTTAATAAGATTGTTTTAAATAACTATTCTCAATGTCATTTTATTAACACTACATTAAAAAGTGGCTACAAAACATTGATGGTATGCCTGGGGTGATTTCTACAAACCTTATTGACTAATGGTGATGGGGACCCTCTGGAACTGTAGAATCATGACATTCAATCTAGTCATGGATTGAGAAATCAATCCTTGATATATTTGATAACAAACATTTATTATAATATAAGAATGAAAAAAAGATGTAGGTGTAAGGCACTGGAACTATTATTTTTAGCAATTTATGATTTATTTTTTTTATTTATGACTTTATCCATTTTCAATGATACCGATATTTTTAATTATTATTATCCAAATTATACTCATGCCTATATAAATTAATTTGATTGTGGCTATTTCTATGCTTAATTATTTTATTTACTTGCCATAGGTATGCACAGCATTTAATAAATTAATGGTAATAATTAATAACACAACATTCTAAGCGCATAAAATATAATAAATTTAAAGTACAATTTTTACAAACCTCATTGGTTATGGTGATGGGGATTCTTTAAAACTGAATGATCATGATCTAACAAGTCATGGATTGATGAATCACTGGAATCACACATTATCTTTAATAAATTTAATAACAACATGTACTACAATTTAAGAATGAGGAATATTTTGTAAAACATTAAATGAAGAAAAATTTAGTTTGAATCACTCATAATTAATAAATTTTAATTAAATTGCAAGTTATCTTGGGGAGTTTGAAGCTTGAATTGAACAAATTACAAAATTGTTTATTTTATAAAATTGATTGATAAGTTGTTTAATATATTTATTTAATTTAGTATATTTTTTATTCCCAGACCTAAGCATTGTAAATAAAAATTTTAAAACCAATCAAGCAATAGAATTTAGGATTTTAGGAACAAGTGCTGTTAGTCATTAGTGTAGTAGTAGTATATAGTACTGTAGTGGTTGGTAGTTTCTAGTAGTCTAATCTGTTAATCTAATTGTTATTTATTTCAATTAGTAATTAGAATCAGTAGAGTTTAGTTTTAGTTTAATTATTAGAGTTTAGTAATTTAATTACTAATTAGTCGTCGTTTAGTGTTGTTACAGTTAATGAGTTAAGTGTTGTTGGTAGTTCACAAAAAATTTTTTTTATTTAAAATGCAAAAAGATACTTAACCGTCATATAGCAATATCTAACCTAAAACAGCATCTAGTATCACCTTTTAAAACATTTTGAAATTTTAAATAAAAGCAATATTCCGAAATTAGTAAATATGCGATCGTAACTTTTGACTTGGACGATAAAAAATCACCCTCCAATTTTTCTCCGGAAGTAAACTCCTTGTTCGACTGTCAAAAATGAGCGAAGGCCGTTATATTTATTCTAATTGTATGTAAAAAGCCATATTGTTATAACCACGGGAATGGTCTAATTGCGCTATACTATTTATTATGCTATATTTGTAGTATAGAGACCATTGAACTTATAACATTGGTGATGGTAGTTACTAGGTCAAAGTTTAAAACACTATTATTAAAATTAATTTATGATTGTTTAGTAAATATTTTTTCTAAAAAATGAAAAAATTAATTGAAAATTGTAAAACATTAAATAAATAAATCAAAAAATGCGTGTACGAAGTTTTTTCTATCCGACTGTTCGGCAAACCCGGTTTTTGGAACATCTCTACAATCTTTTATATTTGTTTTTTTATGGCGCAACTTTGAATTCGGTAGATAAATTAACATTTAAATATCGTCTATATTGTTCTTATAAAAAAAAACGAGTCTGGTCAGTTAAGTATTTGCTACTTTTGAATAAATAAAAGTTGCTGTAGACGGCACTTATTTTATTTTTCATTAAACATTCTTTATTCAATAGTTTTTAATGAATCAGACAAGCATGGATACTGGACTGGATGATAATAATAATAATAATAACATACTTGTCTTACTTAATTTAATATTAAAGTTTTTAATTAATACATATATATTTACCATTTAGTTAGGATTACAATTATATTGGTGTTTCTGTTTAGTTTAGCTATTACTATTTATTTTATTATTAATAGCATTTAATATTAATTTAAAAACTGTTCTCTGTTTTTGTAGGTAAGGGTAGGATTAGTTAGTAGTATATGTCAGTTGTTAGTGTTAGTGTTGTTTGGTTAGTTTAGTTAGTTATAGTAAGTATAATGGGAATAAACAGATAAAAGTACTAAAACTTGAATACTCTGGACTGTTAATTTAAAATAGTAACACTAGTAGTACTAATAAGAAAAAGAAAAATAAATAATTGGCTATTTAATTTTAATATTATTTAAAAAAAAATTAAAATAAATGGCCTCAAACATTATTAGAAGTGACTTATCATCACTTAACGAACAAGAACGCCATACTAATTCCACTATTAATGAAACTGTCTCGACACCCCTGCAACGACAAGGTCATGGTCATTCTTCTAACAACAACACCAACGTTAACAGCCACTGCAACAACGAAGTATTATTATATTTAATTTATGTTTAATCATTTTCAATATTTGAATATTAATTTATTTTGAATCATTAAAGTTTTAGAAAAATGATTTAATCAAAATGCTTGATAATGCTTAAATTAAAATCAAATTGAGGCATAGAAGTTTTTATAAATGGCAATTTAGGTATATATATATATATATATGTATACATATATATACAGATATATATATATTTATTCATTCATTTTTTATTTATTTATTTATGTTTTATCACATGTCAATGTCCTGGAAATGTTAAAAGATCCAGAAAAAATTGGATGAAACCGTCTCATTGGTTCGTCACCTTATGTTAGAAAGTGATGTTAGGAAACATGAAGTAAACATTTTTCATTTAAATTCTTATCACATTTCAATGTGCTCATCTTATGTATATATATATATATATATACGTCCTACCTCGGGGAACCGGGTCTCTGGACGCAAAACGAAAATTGATTGATTGATATATATATATATATATGTTCCCCATATATATATATATATATATATATATATATATATATATATATATACATATATATGTTCATGTTATATCACATGCAGATGTCATGGAATTTTGAAAATTTCAAGGTGGAATCTAAAAATGCAGTTAATGACCTGATGAAAAAAATTGAAGAGCAGAAAGTTGAAGTAAATTCATTTTCATCAAAATTCACAAAGTTTTTTTGGGCTCATATTAAACCATATATTTCAAATTAAAGAATTTAATTTGATTTTCACTTTTAATTACTTTTTAAGTTTAATTTGTTTTATATTTAAATTGATTTCTTTTTATATTAATTTTTTTATTTGAAAAAAATGATAACCAAACAGTTTCAGAGGCTGAAAGATGAATTTGAAACTTATAAAAAGGAATCGCAGTCAAACTTTAAGTTGATGAGAGCTTCACTGGAGTTTTCGAGAAATACATTCAAGGTATTAACTAAAGAGCTGATAAAAAGCTTTTCTGACTACAATGAAGAACTAAACCGCTATGACAATGAGAATCAAGCCTCTTTTTCAGCTACTTCACCTACTAATGCACGTTTTCATGTTAAGATGAAGACCCCAGTGCCATCTCAGGCATCGTCAGACATTGCTGATAGTCAGCAGAGTGCTGATGGTCAGCCAGGTTTTCCGTGTAGCCTTCACAATCCACAACGGTCGGATTGTCAGGATTCGGTTTTTGACTTTGATGAGGAGGAATATAATAGGGAATTACTTCTTGAGTACGAAAACCCGATGGCGTTTAGTGATGATGAAGATAATCACCCCAAGTATCTTCATCTAATTCCAGATCCATTGATGTTAGGCGATGAGGATGGTAAAAATGATGAGAAATCTCTTCGTCTAATTAGAAATCCATTGAGGATAGGTGAGGATGATGATGAGGAGGATAATAATGGGATATCTCCTCATCCAGATGCAAATCCGGGGATAGTAGGTGATGACAAGGATGCTGGTGAGGATATCGTTCATCCAAATGCAAATCCGATAATGGTAAATGATGATATTGAAAATGATGATGATGATAAAGTTGATGATTGTAACAACGACGATAATTGTGATGTTGGATCTCCAAATACAAATCCATTGATATCAGGCGATGATGATGATGATGATAATAATGATAAGGAATCCCCTCATACAAATGCAGATCCGATGAGGATAGATGGTGACGACGATGAAGATGACGACGACGACGATGATGAGGAAGACGACGATGAAGATTATGTGATTAAAAGAGTTTCGAGAATTGATTATAGCAAATTTATTCCCCCCAACGTGTGCCCTAACTATGATGATGACGATGATGATGACGATGACGCTCTTGTTGGCCATTCGAGTAGTAGTGATGACGATGGCAGTGTAGATGATGATGACGATGATGATGACGATGAAGAAAATGAATTGAATGAAGATGACAACATGAAGAGCAGTACCAATTACGACAATGGTGTGAGTGATGACAATGATGTGGATGGTGACAGTGATGAGAGTGATGTTGAAGATGACAGTGATGTTGAAGATGACAGTGATGTTGAAGATGACAGCAATGTTATTGAGAATGCTGATAAGAATGATAGCACTAATGTTGTTGTCAATCTTGTGAGTGATGATAACAGTGATGTCGATGTGAGCGATGGTAAAGATGAAGATGATAGTGAAAGAAATAGCAGTGAAGGAGCCAGTGATGATAATGGAGAAATGATTGGTGATAATGAACACATTAGTGATGATAACGAAAAAAGTAGTGATGATAATGAAAAAATCAGTAATGATAATGAAAAAATCAGTGATGATGATGGAAAAATCAGTGATGATGATGAAAAAAACAGCAATAGTAACGAAAGTTCAGACGAACGGCTGAATGATTGGGATTATGACGAGGGCTACAGTTTTTTGGAAGAATCTGATGCTGGTAGTTTTTTTGATGAATATTTTTCTGACATAATCCAGGACGCAATCGCAGTTTCTCAGGATTCTAAAACCGTTTCCGTTGTAGGTGATAGTGCATCGACTACCAATGATTTTCAGTCGAGTCAATGCAATGAAGGTCGTGGAATTCATTCTAACAATGAAAATACTGCGTCGTTCGGTGATAATTCCGGTGGTGGTGATAATAAAAATGATGACGATGATATGAACGTGGCTGCAGGTGATGAAGATGATACAGAACCATGCATCACTGGAGATAACAGTGGAACTATCGATTTAGACGCTAAACTTCAGTCTAATATATCTGCAAATCTTGTTGACCCTGATAAATGCACCATTGAAAATGAGAAGGATGATAAAAAAAATAACAGAGAAGGTTATAAAACTTCAAGTAATAAAGAAGATGGTGTCAGTGAACAAAGTGAAAATATTAATAACAACAATAGTGCTGATAATAATAACAACATCAGTATTAATAATAATAATAACAACAATAGTAATAATAATGGTGATGATGGGGGTGGCGATGAAAAGGATAAGAAACAAAGTGGGAAAGTTACGACTAGCAAAGATGTTTTGAATAAAAAAGGAGAAAACGAAATTGATGTGAGAGATCCCCGTGTCAGATCCACCGATGCCATCCCTGTTGATCTCGTACATACACCGTTGCCATCTTACGAAGAAAGCAAAAATCAATCCGAATCTCGGTCTGTTAAATATCACGACAAGCTAATAATTAATTTATCTAATGAAAACCTATCAAAATTGGGTTTGCCTTATGAATTTGGTAAAAATAGTTATAGATTTAACAGTGGAGATAACGCTATTAAGTGTAACAATAGCAATCTTTACAACAACAATTATTGTAATAATAATCTTCATGATGTTAACAGCAATTGTAAGACTTATAGAAATGAATCTGCAAGACATCGTAAGATGAACGTTGGTGGAGGCTGCGGCGGTCGAGTTAATGAGAATAATGTTGGCGTTTGGAATCATAATAATAGAAATAATAATAATTATAACAATAATAATAGCGATGATGGTTGTGGTAGTAATCGTCGCAACAGTAAAGTTGACCGTGGCCATCATCGTCGTCCGAACAGTGTCAACAGTTCTTATAATTTTGGCGGGAATGTTGCCACCAGGCCTGCTGAAAATGCTAATAACATGAATAATAGTAATAATAGGAACGAATTTCCCAGTACGTCAGTGCAGTGTGTTAATAAATGTTTAGACGATAAAATATTACAAAAATGTGACAATAAATGCACCTCAATCAAAAAAATTAATGACAAGAGCAATGAACTCGATGATACTGAAAAGTTGAAGTTAAGTTTCAAAATGGCTCAGCGAAAGAGTTTACAGAATTTGTGCCTTGCCCGATCTCTACAATTAGGTGACGTCGCTGATGGGCATGAAAATATTGACACTGTAAACGAGGTTGACTGTGGTGCTACAAGGATTAGCACTTCTGACGGCACCGATGAAGTCCGTGTTGAAACTAAAGTTAATCAGAATGCCGTTGAGACAGGCGGTGCTAACATGAACGCATGCAGTGTTTCCGTGTTTACTATTAGAAGGCAAGCCGAATTGGATGAGTTCAAGAGAAAAAGGGATGAAGAAAATCTTCAAAGAAAATTAGATGAAGAAAATAAAATAAGCGCTCAGCTAGCTAGAGAGGGCCATAATTCGCAAAAGAAAACTGAATCATTGATTAACGAGAGGCGATCTCATTATGAAAGAGGAAACGAAAATGATTCTCCGCCTAGATGTGTTTCACGTGACAGAAGTTTTCATAAGTCAAGGTCACCTATCTCAAGTAATTCAGTGAGAAATATGGAAATTCGAAGTCATAGACCCAGTAAGGACCTCGAATATTTGATAATTTTTTTATTTTGTCTTTTCTGTTTGAAGATAATAAAATAAAAACATTTAAAATATTTATTTCAGATAATTTTTCATACTCAGCTGGAAGTAGTCGTCACTCAAGAAGATATCCGGCAAATTTGTCAAGGGGTTTGCCAGACAGAGCTGAAATTGTTGAAAGAGATGATGCTAGATCTACACGAAAGCACAGATATTTCAATGCACACAGACCAAGATCGAGATCTAGAGTGAATTTAAGTTATTCTCAAAACACAGAGAATCGCAAAAATGAAAAAAAACGTTCAGTCGACTCTAATAACAAAAAATTGTGTAGTGGCTTAGTGGAAACCGCTTATAACAAATCGCGATCTGTTTTGACTCCTCAGAATCCTCCAACAGCTTCTTGTCATAGCATGGAAAGACAGAAAAGAGACCGAAGCGAATCAAGCAGAAGTACTCCAGATATAACTCAACATGAGGATTATTTAAGTATCAACAACAGACAAAAACGAAGGAAGAGATAATATTTCATAAAATATTTCAAATTTGAAATTTTTTTTCTTGTTTTTAACACTTTATTTAATTTGTATAGTGTATATAGACATATTTCCGGTTCCTGTGTATCTATTTGTGACTTGTTGCATAATTTACTTAGTTTTTTGATCTTATCATTTTTTACTTGGTTTTAAAGTTTGGAATCAGTAAAGATTTTAAAATTAATCAATGAGCTTTGATGATATAGTGCAAATTTTTGTTGGTTGATTGTTGGTCGTGATATTGACCACTCGTATTTGCGTTTCTTTGAGTTATCGAAAAGTATTGCACTGAACTTCAAATTGAGATTAATTTTAATTTGTTGAACGTCATTTGATTGCTAACTCGCGCTTTTTCGCTCTGTCTACCGTTGATCGATTAAGTAAGTAAGCTGGTAAGTATTACGACGGTTCGGAGTTTACGATTTATTGAAATTCTTGTGCCTGCGGAAAAAAAATTGAAGTTTTTTCACAAAAATCGTTCTGTAGCATAGATTGACGCTTATCCTTTTCATCTGACGGCCAAAAATCAACGGATTTCTATATTCTAATTTCAAAAGCTACCCCATGTACTCAGAGTCTTAAAACACCTTTACGGTTAATGTTTTTCATTGTTTCCTTTGGCCTAACACTTCCAATTAAGTCTACTTTTAAAATTGATATTGTGAGGGAGGACAAACGTGCGAGCAAGCGTCTTCGTTATTGGTCGCGTCAAATTTGTACTTCCTATGGTTTTTTTTTATATTAATTTGGTAATTTTTGTATGTAATAATTTGTTTTATTTTTTTTAGTTTAACATTATTCATTGTTTTTATGCTCAAAATTCATTATTTTGTTGTAATACAAAAGTGTCATAAGTGAAAAGAAGACAATTAACATTGGCATTATTTTAAATTAAATAATAATATTAAAAAATAAAGATATATATTTTTATTTGATATGGGTTCTATTATAAATTCACCCGAAACAAATGGTGACTCTGCTGAGCCGTCTCAAGTAGTTCCCTTTAAGTTTAAGGCATCTAAAACAGAAAATTGTAGCAAGCGTATGCGTAACAACCAATACAAGCCAAGTTCTTCCTACAATATTTCCAAGCCTTTCACTAATTCTAAACAAACATCCACTGTATCTGATCCAGATATGGTTTGTTATCTGAAGTTAATTGGTGAGGGGTGTTGTTCTCATTTTTTGGTTGTTTAGCTAAATATTTTTAATTATTATTTTTTAAACTCATTCCAGATTCATCACATGTGTGTAGTTTTCTGCTCTCTGATCCCTGCCTATTGATTTCTGATAAAGTATAATTATATTGTTTTCTAATGATTATATTTAATGCTTGATGTTGAACAAGTTTGTAATACTTTTTGCTTTTAGTACCTTCTTGCAACAACTTTTCTTTATTTTAAACGGTGCAGCACTTTAAAGACAATGGTCTTCAATCAACAAAACTTCTTTGTAGCATTGTAAGTTCTTATTATTTAATTACTATTAATAATCCAAATTCGACTAATTTTCCTACTTTTTTTAGATACATAGCTAATGAAATGGAGGAAGATGAGGATGATTACAAGTATGAAATCTTTCCATGGGCACTAGGAGAAAATTGGAGTGAAGAGTTTGCAGTATTTTTTCAGTGGAGAGATTCCATGTTAATAGATTTGGATTTTAATGTTATTGCTGAAAAATCAAAATGTGATGAGGTATTCTATATGTACTTCATGTAAATGATAATTTGTTTTGGTTTTCAGAGAAATAATCTAATTAATTTGTTCATTATGGTTGTGTTTTATTTTTATTTTATGGTCTGTTTTGTATTTTCTTCTGTTTTTGTATTTTCTCCTGTTCATGTTTAGTTTAGTTTTGTTTATATATTCTTTTATTAACTTTGAAATATATAATTTATTTTTTGAGATTATGAGGATTGAACCTAACCATTGGGTCTGGTCCAGGGAAAGGAAAATTCATCATTCTGGTGCTAGATTTACCAAAGATTATAAAGAAAAACTTCCACGAGGCCCTCTTTCAACTCCAAAAGTGCTTTGTGATTTATGTTTAAATAGTTCAAATAGAAATGATTTTGAAATAAACAATGTGGCATGGTCACCAAAATTTGTTTTTAATTAACCGCAGTGTGGCCTAGGTTAATTGTCATACAAATGCCTTCAGTTCTTAAATTGTCTTAGTACAATTATTTTTTTCTTTATTGATGTTCTTTAGGTAATTATTTGTTGCCATTGCTATCTTATTCATCCTAATGTTTCTGTGTTAGTGTGCAAGTTTGTTCATATATAGAATATTATGTAAAAGGTTCAATGTAAGATATATATTACTATTTTATTTCGAGTTAACTTGTTTTGACAGATAATTGCTTTAGAATACAGTAACGACTAAAATATTGTCTTGTTCTAGCTAGTTTCACTTAAACTTTTGTTTTTGGTGTAAATACGTCACGCTTAAATTGCTTGGAGACTGGTGCAATGCAAGTGAATCAAGTTTAGTCAACCTTTACTGACTGAGCAATGTGTCATAGTTAACATCGCGTTCCTTGGTTTATAACTATTCTAATTTATCGTCAGTTGATGTTTACTGTTTCGTTTGACAACACTTGTCTGAAGGCGATCAATCGAAAGTTTCTTAAGATCAGATTTGTTCAATATTTTTTTAAAACATGGGAGTGATTATTCGCTTTAAAATCGACAAAAATCAATCTTAATTATTTTAAGACAGAATGAGAAATTAGCATGCGGACCGTTAATTTTTTTAATTCCTATTGTTGTTTCCTTAGAAAGTACAGCTCTGAGCTTCTGCCACTTGTTCTCTCTGTTTGATGACCGTTCATGATCATTAATCATTATGCATCAATTATTTATATATTTTTAAAAACTTACAAACTTGGAAACTTGTAAGTTTTAACTTTTATTTGTAATTGATAAATTTTTTGCAAGAGCGTTAAATTAGTAAATTTATTTTAGTGTTGTTAGTTGAGATTAAACGTATTTTTATTAAGTTTAGCACGAAATGAAAACGAAAATGAATGGAATTAAGGAGCTTCATATCGTCGTCGACCTTCACGGCGGTAGTAGTAACAGTAACATCTGGCGTACCCACAGCCAGAGTTTACCATTAATAATATAATTAATAATGGCAATAGTAATGGTTGTATGTGTATGACAAACTCATGGCTGCAAGCGGTTGTTATTTTCAAATGCATGGGTATGTCTTTATACGCGTAAGCTGCGTGTATGCGTTCCTTTCAATTGTACGAGATGAATATGTGCGTTATGGAGTAAATATGCTAACCTAGGGCGGGAAAGATGAAGTTATTGGTTGTGTGAAAGGGGCACGAGGCGAGGCCTACAGCGATGCCCCCGGGAAAGAGGGAGGCGGCGACATTATCTTGATAGCCCCAGGCGTGGCAGTTTTTAAATCCGCCTCTGGTGTGTGGTATTTGATTTTATTAACCAGATATGTCATTACAACAAAAAACAGCTGGCAACTGGCACGATTTTTTTTTATTTAAACAGCTAAAAATTATTTCCCAAACAAAGTAGAAGACGGTTAATCGGGCCACAGGTTGATCGTGCTTATCGGACCACCGATTAACCGATCATTTGATAATCGACTTTCACTGCACTCAAATTGAAATACATGCTGTCTAAAAAAATTTAAATTGATTGATAATGCTAAGACATTGCAAGTTAATTTAAATAACGCAAATAATTTGAAAAATTTCCGACAACATTCACGATGAATTCATTGATAAACTAAGCCTGCGTTATTTTAAATGAACTTTTAAAAACAGCTGAACGCTACGTTTGAATTAATGAATAACGTGTACAGTTATGAATGACTTTTGTGGGCAATGAATAATTTTCATGCATTTTAATAAGCAAACACAAAAACTATCGTACGCTATGCCATTCTTATGATATGTTCTTCACCGCCTTCATCACCATACCTTGTGCTATGGCAACTTGTAGATGCGAGGTGGCAGAATTCAATTTCTTGTTGCTCGGATTTAAAATTTTTGAGAGTAGAATTAATATCTTCAGAGTTAGGGAGCAAATTGTCTATTTCAATCTGTTTTTTGTCGTATCGCACCACAGATTTTTAATTTCCTCAATTTTGTTAGATTTGAGCCGTTGCTGAGTTTTACTCACAGTGATTTTCAGCTATCTGATGTCTAAACTACCCAGTTTATAAAGTAATGAAATCATTATTTTTAAAACTGCTGACAGGCAGAGCCAAACAAATTCTTGCATCATCGGAAATCAAAGGGTCCAAGTTGTTTGCAATCCAAGCCAATGAAATGTCGTAAATCCGCAGCTCAAAAACCAGTTATGATGGGATGTAACATCATAAGATTTTCAGCTTCCATTGAGCTGTGGTGTCAAGTTTAGAAATAATCAAAACCTTTTTTCAGTTTACCGAGCAGCACATCTTTGGCGATAGTGTAGTTGCAATCGAAATCGTGGTATTTACCTAGAGCAGGGGTGGGCAAACTACGATCAAACAAAAGGAACCACAAATCTTTGAAAAATTTTCCCCCGGGTCGGAAAAATTTGCTGTTTAAGTACATATGCGGTTCTTCATATGTAAAAAAGTTTTCAATGTGCCCCTCACAGCAAAAATTTTGCCCACCCCTGAACTAGAAACTTAAAATGACTTGAATAACTTGCCACATTTTTTTAAGAATTAAAATTTAGGTATTTATAAAATTTAAACCACTAAACTACAACGCAATCATTTAAAAACAAAACCACAATATTCCTGCAATTTTTCACAAAAAATGAAACTATTTTAAAAAATAAATAAAACAAGAAAAACGTAAATTATGTATAAAAACTGTGAGTTTGCAAAAGTTGGCCAACATAGTCAAAAACAACAATAATAATAATAACAATAATAATAATAAAGATGATAATTTTAAAGTTGTTTATCGCATTATTCAAAAGTATATGAATGAATAGTTTTTATATAACGTGTTTAAAAATTATTCAAATGCGAAATCAATTTTCTCTCAGTTTTCCTTGCTCCATGCACAGAATCCTGCAATGTTCACATTTTAAAGCCATTCAATTTATTTATCTTACCACAACGGCAATGATTTATTATAAAACAAATTAAACACGTGACTGCTAAAATAAAAACATCTTCAAAGAAAACAAATAAAAAAACAAATGAATGAATAATTATCAACGAATAACATAGCTTCACATTGAATAACAATAAATAATAGTAATTAACAACAGTTAACCTGTCACAACTGGCTGTTGAAGACATGCGGTGTGCTATGATGATTACGGTACAATCTTTGAACTCCCTGCTGATCGTCGACTGAATTAATTTGTCCGTCTCAACGTCTACGGCTGATGAAGTAACACATTTCAAATGCAGTGCAGTACAAGTTTCAAATAAGCTTTGGTCGTAAAAAGTTTACAATGTAAGAACTTTAAAAAATCAACTTTTATGATTAAATGTTAAATTTTGAGCGTAAATTTTCTTACGAAACTTTTCCAAATTTATTTTACTGAGTGGTCCTAACAAGCAATACAAACTAGAAGTACTAACAAGCAGTACTTACAAGCAGTACTAACCAGCAGTAGCTTCGTCCAAAATGAGGATTGAAGTTTTGTGGAGCAGAGTTCGAGCCAGGCACAGAAGCTGACGCTGGCCAACACTTTATGGATGAGAAATGGCAATTATTTATAAAACAATTGAACTGTTTATAAACAATATTTTTTATGTGTTTTCCTCTTGAAATAAACATAAGCAATATTGAAAAACAGCTGAACTTTTAAGAAAAATTTTGATGCACAGTATAAGGTTACCAATAATTAAAACAAATTTATTAATTATATGGCTCAGGTGTTTTGTGTAAATCAAATAAATTTTCCAACTCCAAATTCTCCAACTCCAAAAACCACCTGAAATTGTTACCATTGGCTTCGCAAAAGAAATCAAGTTGACCGGGCAGCGACTTGATGACATGAAGCAAACTGACCTGCTCCAGTGCCTTCCAGATAACTGCATCACTCTCCTTAAGCTTAGATGTCGGATCGAGGTTCATTCTTATCGTGTCACTGAATATGAACGGGTCCTGCAATTTGAATTCATGATTACAAATAAACATATGTCGTTTCAAGTATAACATTTTCCATCACCACTGACAACATTTCCATTTTCGTATTAAATCATTTAAGCATAGGATTTGTATTGTTTGCAAAGAAATAAGGGATTGATATTTAAAATATTTAGCCAAGCCAATTGAAAATGTCACAGAATGTTGCCATTGATTAGCAGTCATGTATTACATTAATAATTAATTCTTAAAAAGCAAATAATGTTCTTTAATGAACAAACAACTGACTAACAATTAACTGCAAAATTATTATAAATTACTTTGACAAAAAAAGAAATGAGCCTAAATACTTGTGACAGAACGGTTATGTTGGATCTCAATATTTTCAAAGGCAACTTGGAAATGTCATAATTATCTATGTAGATGGAGCCTTCAGACTGGCCGAAACGGAAGAGAGCTGAGATCAAAGAACTCTTGCCAGCCCCTGTCCGACCCATGATGCCAACCTGCATGTATCATGGAGACAGTTGTTCCACATGTCAAAAGCAAATTTAGTGTAAATTTTACCAATTTAATAAAGAAATAAGATTTTTCAACCATATTTATTAAAAATCACAGGTGTAAGATATAAGATATGAGGTATATGTTTTATATAAGAACCAAAGCTATATGTTTTGTATATGTATAAAACCAAACTGAAACTTAAAATTATTAACCTTTTCTGAAGGTTTTATGCTGAAGTGTATGTTTTTTAGAGCGTAATCGAGCCCTTCCTTGTATTTCATGCTGTAGTTGAAAAATTCTATTGAACCCTCTTTGAATGGTTTGACTGTAGAAAGTTTCTTATCAGCTTGTTTCTTGTCTGTTCAAGTGTTTAGTGACTTTTAATAATATATTTGAAAAATGTAATTAATTTATGCAAGTTTTTAAATAGAAAATCCTTCATCGATATAAAAAAACCTTTACATCGCTCATCATCTTCATCGTCGTCGTCGTCGTAGTCCTCAAGATCAACATGCAAATATTCCTTCATTCTTTGCAGAGACACCATCGTAATGTGGATGTTCGATGAGATCATCACAAACTGGGAGAGCGTGAAGGAGTCCTGAATAAAAAAGCTCCACCAGTGAAAAAAGTAATAAAAGGATGGTTTCATAAACTGTTAGCTTAGCATAGAAGCAAGCAACAGTTGAAAAGATTATAAAAGATTGCAACCAAAGTCAGTCATTTCGACTTAAGTACATTGATTGATGCGGCAATGCAATATCCAACAATGGATCCAGACAGCAAATCGCGACTGATGATGAAGAAGATTCCTGCCAACAACGTCAGCGCAGCTCCTATCAACTCCAAGTTTGTACCAAGCCATCTAGTTTTCAGAAATACAAATTTTTAAACGAAACATTCATTTTTTTGAAAAAACCGATTTTAATTAAACTAAACTAGTATTAGTTAATTAGAAATTCAAAAAATTTAAATATTTTTTATACCTATAATAACTATTTTGTACAAACACGTGAACATTTTTTCAACCAAAAAATATACAACTTGACGTCAAAGTTATCTTTCCAAACTTTTATGTCGAATTAGTAAAAACAAAATTTTCATTGTCGCAAAAACCTGTCAGCAGCATTGATAGCGCATTCACATGCAATGTTCTCATTGACCAGTTCTTCGAACTTCCGAACAAACATCTTTTGCTTGTTGAAAGCTTTTATCGATGCCAGCCCATCAACAGTCTCACAGACGTGTGTGTAAATGGGAGAGCGAGAATTTGAACTCAACCACTTCAATTGGCAGACAGTCGGCAGATAGAAGTGCTGAATGAATTATTAAATTAAATATATTCACAAAAAAACAAAATGAGTTACCTTTTCAATATTAACCTGTAAAGCAAGAAACAATAAAAGAAGGAGAACAGCGGCAAAGAGGAACACAGGAATCATTACGCTGACCACGATGAGCGTTCCAACCAGTGAAGTCAACAGATAGAAAGTTTGGTGAAATAGATCAGCCAGTGTACAGTCAAAAGCGTCCAAATCTTTAGAAAATCTTAAAAATAAAACAACCTTACTAGGTTTAGGAAAAGTAACAAACGTGCCATTTTCATTTGAAACTTAATTGACATGAAAACATTTTGTCATGTCATTAAATTACTTGCTGATCATAAATTTCTCAATATTCAGACAAACTTCCAAATAAAAAATATCCAAATGTAAAGCCTGCCTGTTGATGATACGTCCTGCAGAAACATCGTAGAAGAAAGTCATGGTCGATCGGATGACGCGATGGATCATCGATGAATGAAGTCTTCGTGAGGCATTTATTAACGTGTTTGTTCGAATTATGCAGTACAATGCCACAAAAATTCCTGAAAAATACATTTGTTCGAGTAAAAGTTATAATATTGCAAAGCAATATTACCATTTTTTTAATCAAACATAATATAACCATAAGTCGCTTTTATTGTTAGGACACTATTTTTTACTCATTCTTTGTACTGTTAAAAATATGTTAAATAATAATCCTAACTCAGCATTTTTTATTCTCTTTAAACTTAAGTCAAAATTGTTAGTAAAACATATTAAATTACAACCGTGTCCAAGTAGCAAGAGACCGTAAACTTTTAAATGATGATTCACGCCATTTATGTAGTCGGAGTTGAAAAAGATCGTTTGATGGCTAGTGTTGCTTCGAAATGTCTCATGAGACGATTCATTTCGTAATTCGTCGTATAACTCGGCGAGATGTTTGTCAGCAGCCAAGTTTGTAATCCAGATATAAGATATTATTTGAAATGTTTTAAATGCTATGAAACTTCCAGCAGCCAAGAAAGCCCATTTGTACTTCAACAATTTCAAGTAGAAGTTATACGTTGACCAAGTTATCTGTGAAGATAACGAAAATAATAAGCAGAAAAACTGACAAAAAATACCATGTTAGCCAAATTGTAAAAAAGTTAACTAAGCGTTTAATATAATTAATGATGTCTCTGTCTCAATATATTAAAATATGACCGTTCCCGTTGATTCGTTGTTGTAGTCTGCGGTCAAATTAAATCCGGTGTCAGATTCCATTTTCCTAATTGGAAAAATTGAGGAAAAAATCACAAAACTGGATAAAATTTTTATAAACACTATATTAACCAGATCATTTATTTATAAAACTTACAACCTGTGTTCAATTTGTTCATCACCATTTCTTTTTGACAGTTTATGTTCAATTTTTTCAAAACTGGTCAAAACTTTATTTATATATCTGCCGTTGTCCATGAGTTGCTGGTAGGTGCCTTGCTCAACGATACAACCTCCATCCAGCACAACGACCTGGTCGACATGGGGGAGTATGTTCACTGCATGAGTCACTAACAACCTGGTCTGAGTTGTATCAAATACAACATCATCAGTGGTTATAAATTGTGGAACTATTTTTTTAAAATGATTAATAAACTTCCATATTTAGCCGAGTGAACCTTGTTTTTGAGCATGCCGTGTGGTCCGATGAGGCTGTCGAAGATGTGCGTGGCGACGTGTGAGTCAACAGCACTGAGTGGATCGTCGAACAGGTACACGTCACAGTCCTGGTAGATGCTTCGGGCCAAGCTCACTCGCTGCTTCTGACCACCGCTCAAGTTTATGCCCTTTTAAAATATGTTGATTCATGCTTTAAAAATAAACGCTGCTGTTTTAGGTTAGATTCAGCCAGTGATGGGCATTCAAAAAATGTTTTACACTAAAGTTTCAAACAAATTGAAAAATTGATCACACGACTAAATTTTCACTTTTTCGCCAATTTGTGTTAAGTCTCCAGCCGGCAACTGAAGAATGTCTTCGGCGAGTGCACACGCGTTAACTACTTCATTGAACTTCTCTTCGTCGTACGTCTCACCCAGCAGAATGTTGTCTCGCAGAGATGCGTTTATGATCCACGCTTGTTGGGGCACGTAGCCCAGTCGACCCTGATATTGTATTTCAAACATTATCTTTTATAAAAGTAAAATTCCTTACAAAAATGATATTATAAGAATCTAAAATTTTGAATGAAATCAGTTGTAACTAAACTTTACACCACCACTAATTAATTAATCGTGACCTTTATTTTTACATGTCCTGAAACTCGTAGCAAATTTCCCATGACCGCTTCCAAAAGAGTCGACTTTCCGGAGCCAACTTGTCCAACAATGCCAGTCAGTGATCGGCTAATGACGTTCAAGTTGAAACTGTGATATGAAGTGAAAATATTTAAAAAATTTGTTTCAATATTTAATGAGAACATTTAACATTCTATAATTTCTTACTTTTCCAGAACTAAATTTCCGTTTTGATGCCGTTTGAAGGATCCGCATGTTATTCTTACTGGCAGTTCATCTTAAACGAGGGAGTACAAATTACAAAAATTCACAATTTATATCAATTAATCGATGACCTAGTTAATAAAGCGGAATTTCCGCGATGTTCAACAGCGCTCCTCAATGAGTTTTTCTCAAACAGATCGATTTTGAGATCCGCTCTGAACTTCGTAAGTGATGAAGAATAGTAAAGTAGAGATTTCCAGAAAAAAGAGCCACAAAAAGCAAAATGCAGATTCTACATAAAAGCATTTAACACGGGTTAAGAAAAAGTGTGAAAGTGTGAATGTGTTTTGGTATAATTAATATAGCTGTTAAGTATTGAGGAAATAGTTTAGATTGAGACTTGTGCATGTACATTAATGTACAAATTTTAAAAATTATCCTATAATTTTAAAATATATAGCTCTTGCAAAAGAAGAAAATATCGATATATATAAGAAAAGATATGGTCACGAGAAATTAAACGAGCAGCTTCAATTAAAGGATAGAGTGTAGAATTAGAAAGACCATAGTAAAGCAAATTACAATAATCAATCCTAAATAAAACTTAAAAAAACAAGTAGAAAAGTAGAATCGTCAAGAAAAGGGAAATGTCTTTTCATTCTACCAAGATGATAGTAAGAACTTATAGCAACACTTAATCTGGAAAGAAAGAAAAATGCTAGAATCAAAAATAAAGTCCAGACCACAAAATTTATGAGAAACTTCAAATGTTATAGAAACATTTTAATGGAAATAAAAAAAATTTGTTATTCTATATATTTTATTAAACATCGAATGTATAAATTACCATTGCTGATGAGTTTTTCTACATAAGGTGTTCGATTTGGCAACTTCAAAAATTTTTCCAGTCTGCTTACAGCAACTACATTCTTTCAGATATCAATTTAAGGTTTGTGAAACATAATTTTAAAAAAAACATTTATGAAAAATTATGGATGTTGCAAAAGATGAATTGATTATCAGTTACGTAAAATAATTATTTTAATTTATTATTTGCGAATTTTATTGTGATTTTCAGTTCAGTAACATACATCGGTTGAAGTTGCGAACAAATTTTAAGCTTTAAAATTTTTACATTGAACAAATTCCTGTAATGCTGTGACTGGGTTCGACGGCGAAGAGATCCTGTTCGATGCCCTTAATCGCGTGTGTGGCGTGTCTGTTTATTTGTTGTGATTCTTCTGACAGATAATAAAACATTCCATAAAACTTTCGAAAAACTGCACTAGGTTATACATAAACACTTTACACCAAATATGATGGTTCATTCATTTTCCTCCTCTTCATCAAAATAAGTATCTTATTTAACATCATTGATTACAATTGTGAAAATGTTTGAGATATTATAAATGTAATAACTAGTCAGTGCAATCACGTTTATAAAAAAAATAATATTCTGATTGAAGAGTTTTTTGAAAAGATAATTTTATTGAGATGTATCAGCTCAAAATTTCACATTAGCGCCATCTTTTCTAAACAATAATGAATGAAATTTACAAAAAAAAGTCACGAAAGGTAAAATAATTGTAGTTTAACAAATAAACTATACTTTGTATGAACTTCTGATAGAAAAAAAAAATCAAAAATTCTTTAGCACTTCAAACATTAAAATGTTCATCCTATCCGGTAGGCGGTCCAGTATATTTTGCATTTATAAGTCTCAGTTTCAACTTTGTCTCGACAAACTATTTTTACGAAAAAATATGACCAGAGAAGTTTGATTAACCTTTGCTATCAGGTTGATAATGATAGGAAGAAGGAAGAGTTCATGTTGGATGACATTGAACATCGCGAATGACGTGAAAGCTCTCCTAGCGTCCAAGTGACCGATCCAACGGGAATAAACGGCTAAAGTTGTAAAAATAACCTGGAAATTGAGTTGGAAATTTTTTTTTTTGTCAAATTGAACATTTTTTATTAACAGAATATAAAATATTAGAATTTTTACCAAAATGTCAACTAAATTTTATTAATCTTTAATTTACATTTTAACGATTTAAAACATAAATTAAAAACTTTAAAAAATTAATTTTAATTCAATTAATTCTAAAATTTATATTTTGAAATAAAAGTGTTGTAAAAATTGACGCCAAGTTATGATGTCATTTCGCACGCTTATGATAGAATTATTTTATGATCCCAAAGGCTGCACATTACAAATTCCACATCTGTTGATGCAACCATCATACTTGTTAACAAAAGCGTTTCTATATATGTTAGAACAGCATAAATTATAAACTTATAAAAACCAAACTGACTAAATTGGGAACAAACAAGGAAACGGACAAGTTGGAGCTGTTAAGGTAGAGAAAGTTTTTAAGACTTTTTAATTCGTTTGCTCGGATGTCCGTCAATTTCTTTTCAAACACTTTCTCCCACGTGTGCAACTTCAACAACTTTCCAAAATTTGCATCAAATATTATAAGTTTCAATTTAAAAATATTTAATATAATTGTTGTTAATATATGTGAAATCTTTCATTTTTTCAATAACTAAAAAGAAGCAAAACCAAATAATACCGAAATAATACAATAATTAAAATCATGGAGTAATGGCTAATATGCCTGGCATTGTTGAAACCAAGGACAGCGCATGAAATATGCGCTTGATGAGTGGGGAAAAGATTGCATTGAAATCCTATCTCTTTCAAGAGAAACATTAATATCAAACTAAGAAAGAAATAGATAAATCATGAAAACGGTCCGTGAGCAGAGAAAGTAATTCACAATTTATACAAAAGATAATAGCATTCCCATACATCAAAATAAAGCAGCAATTATTATATAGAATTTTCGTTGGGTTAATTTGAAATAAAATTAAAAAAGTAGGTGCAGTGGCAAATCTAGGACGGGGACGAGGGCAGTATTTGTATTTAATGTCAGTTAAAGTCATTGTTTAAACCAAAATAGTGCCGTTTTGATTTGACCAAAAAATTACGTGATAAGCAGAAAAAGGTTGTCAGCCGGAAATGTTGGCCCCTCGTAAAAATGTTGCCTCCCGGTCAACAATTAAACGCATTTAAACATTTTCTAAAATTCTCCGCCGGTTAACGTTTGAAAATTAAAAAAAAATTTGGCTCCCCTGCCAAAGTTGTCTAGATCCGCCACGGAATAATATGTGCAACAGCTTTAGATTAAATCGGAGCATACGAAGAACCTTTATGTTATGTATGATTTCAGAAAGGAGTTTCAGTCTCTGGTCTTTCCAACTAATCTGCGACAACTTTTCAAGCAATTTAATTTTAAATAATTAGCAACTAAGAAGAGCATTAAATTTGATATAATTTGAAGTTAATGAACAAATAATTTAAAACCTGAAAATTTTTTAAAAAGTTAGAAACAACGGCTTCTATGATAATTACAAGAATAACAATGCCGATGAAAGCAAAGACCGCCTTCCCAAGAAGATACCACTGTATTACGACGGCAACGCATATTTGAAGTGGAATCGACCAGATAAGGCCGATACTCGCACAGAATTCAGCAAAAATGTGAACGTCTGTTGAGAGCAAATTTATAATTTCTCCTGCTGTCGTTCTGGAATTTTTTCGCGCATCTTTGGCAGCATTTTTAATATTGAAAGAATATTCACCGCTCAAATCCACAACCATTAACTGTCAAAAACCAAAAAAAATTCAATTATTCGCTATGATGTAAACCTATTTTTATTATTGCGTTTGGGCGATGTGATGAAATAAATATCAACAGTTCATGTTGTCATTACCACGTTTTATGTTTGAAAAAGTCTGAGTTACAAATAATCATATCAAATGTTCTTATGTTTTTAATAAACTTTCAGATATAAACGAAAATTGAATTCAATTAATGCAGACCTTCTCATAGATGGCAGAGAGCAGCGTTGATATAATTCCTAAATTGACTTGTGTGGATATGAACATTTTTCGCTGGAAAAACATTGACTCCAGCATGTAACACACAAACATCGTGAAAACTATCAGACCGCCATTCCATTTCGGCATGGATTTGTCTTCGAAAAAATCAATGAAAACGCTGAAAATTGACAGTAACTTATATTATTTGTGAAACCTTCTTGTTTATTTCGAAAATAATTTTAACTAACCCCAGCAATGCAGGCATAACATCCATTAACGCAATGTTAATTAAGAGGCAGAGATTCATGAAAAAAATTTTGAAAGAAAACATCCGAACAAAAATAAAAAATAAAGACGAGCTGAATCAAATTTCAATTTTTTTTAAATTGTTTAAACACCAACCAATTATATTCAAAAAACGAATAACCTATTAAAACTCCAGAGTCGATTGAAATAATTTCTACAGTACTGAGCATCTAAATCTTCATTTACTCTCCATATATCGGAAATTGAGATGCTTCGCTTATAGCCTTTCAGTAACAAACTGCACGCAATGAGGTTTTCATATGGAATAAAAAAATATGAAAATTACTACATATTTATTGCGTAAGAATGCTGTATTTAAAAATTTTATTTAAAAATCTAAATATATCCAACATATTTAATTATTTAATATATTATTAAATTAATATTATTTATGCAGTTGCGGGCTGTCATTGCAGAAGAAAATCCTGTTACTAGTAAAAGCTCTTTCAAAAATTATAAAAAAGATAAAGGTCTATTTTTTCTCTTTTCTAGACTTGCCTCAAAAGTATCAACAAAACTCCACATACATTGGAAACCACGCATCCTAAGCAGTGCAGATGCTAAATATATCTATTGCATTCGATACCAGTACCTACAAAGCACGGAACAGGACTAGGCGTCTTTAACCATTACGCTTTAACTCTATAATTGTAAAAAATATGGTCCTTAAGGAAGCGTGTTAAGATTAGTTTGCTTTTCCATCGAAATATTATGATGTATATTTTATTTTACTGTTTAAATTTTAATGGGAAGTTGTTTGAACTCTGCCAAAACAATCGTCGTCCTACAAGGTGACGAGCTCGGACAATATAATTGCTCTGGCATGGTTTGCAAACTCATGACCATCCTGAGATCGTCCAAACCCAAAGTCAAGTTCACGACTCGACCGTTCAATGCAGCATGTCTATCGGTGTTGCTTTATGGTTGCAAATTTTAGTCAATAACAGAAGACATGAAGCATAAACTTGATATCTTTGCAGAAAATAATATTGATCCCCATGCTAAATAACAACCAAGCCCAAGCTCACATGACCAACAAAGAGCAATAGAAGATAGCTAATCAAGCCTCAATCAGCGAGTTAATAGAGTCAAGACAGTTTTAATTTGTCCGACAGTTTTTAAATAGTTAAAAGTAAAATAACAAACATCTATCTCTTTATAAATCAAATGTCCGATCAAATAGAAAAGTTCGACCTCATCTCTCCTACCGAACGAAGGTTTGCAAATATTTTAAGAAACTGGATCGACAAAATGACCCGACTGGCAACAGATAAAAAGTTGTGGATGAATGTTGTCGCATCTAACAAGTCCGCTCAGTGATGATGATGATGATAATGATTAATAAAAGTAATCCTGCATCAACCGTACTTTACAATCCACATGTAAGTCATTCTGTATGGCACTGAACATTTGTATTCAGGAGGGAGATTCTGTAACAATTTTTAAATCTCCTAATAAAATGTTAAAGTACAATAAACAAGTATGAAAATTCAAATGCAGACAAACTTTTTGAAGGCTCTGAGCGACATTGTAGTTTGTGAAGCAGTTTAAAATGAACATGGTGAAGGTATTGAAACAAAATGTCGTAAAAATACAAATAATTAAAGCCTTTTCGGACTTTTCTTTGGGCTAAAAATGTATTATATAAGTATATATTTATGTATTATATATATATATATATATATAAGTATATATAAGTATATATATATATATATTGGATTAAGGGTGGGTGTGTTTGTATAAATATATATATATATATATATATATATATATATATATATAAAATATAAACATATTATTTATTTAGTGATTTATTCAGTTATATTTCGAAATAATCTATGAATTTGAATATCAATAACTTACTTACTTTATAATTGCATGTACCCGATATAAAAACGAACAAATAGAAGATTGCAGACATGACCAATAACAAGTAGAATGTAAACTGGTAGACTGATGTTACGAGCTGTTTGTCACGTTCAGTTGCAACAACCAACAACTGCAAACCCTGTTTTGTTTTGGATCACTTTATCTTATTAACTTGATCAGAGACTATATTACCAATATAAAGGTTAAACTCTTTCAATGTGAGATAGTTGTAATAAAAATACTAGCAAATGTAAGTGTCATCATTCCTGTTGTGAGAACCGACACTACGCATAAGCCGCCATTGATGTACAACAAGAGAGTATATAAGAAGCATGCTGCACTCGTCAGCAACAAACTTGTGGAAACCATCTTAGAAAGATTTGTGGAATATAATTATTGTTGTTGTTTGAAAATTGGAAAAAATTAATTAAAACTACTAGCAATACAGAGCACCTACTACATGTGTGTTTGTTCATACATGCGTGCCAAAAATAATTAAAATTTTGTTCCTGGGATAAGTTGTAAAAGATATTTAATTTCATTAAACTTACTTAGCAAAAGATCGTTTGAAGCAAACGACTACTATTAATTTATGATTAAAATAATTTATTTCATTAGTAGTTAAATCAGCTCTGATAAGGAAAGATTTTAAATCGTTCCCGCTGGTTTAGTCTGTTCTTGGACCAATTCTTTTCACTTGGACGGCTCAACTGAAAATGTTCAGTGACATTGCTTTAAATATTGTTAAAAATAGATCATTTTCAGACGCAGTTTGACCTGCGCCGGCATAGGACCTTGTTAGTCAAACAATCTTATCTTCATATTATCTTCACTCTTTCATAATTTGGGGTTATTGATTGATTTTGAGAGTAGTTGTTTTTGTATTTGACCGAGAAGTGCCAGCAGGTTTCTTCGGCGGGCCTCGGTTGGGGTCACATAAAGTTTGGTGCACGTTGATAAGGTTGTCCTTCTTCCCAGACATCGGTTGGTTCATAATTGGAAAAATATTCTATCGTGAGTTAGCATTTATGATTCATGGGGTACAACAAATTGAAGCATGAGAAGATTGAGGCAGGTGTAAAAATGTCGACCAGTCTAAAAAGGTGATTTATTCTTTGGCTGTAAATATTAAGAAATCGAGATTGAGTATTATTATTAGTTTGCCACAAACGACTGACAGCGGATGGAGCGGTGGTGGTTTTTAATGTACGGACGATCGTTCAGTTGCTAAAACAAGCTGACTGAGCTACCTGTGGTCTCACCAGGTAAGGAACTTTAAAAAAAATTAACAGCGCGCGCTTTTTTCAAGAAGACTATGAAAGCTTCTCCGATAATTATTATTATTAAAGTATGAATAATAATAACTACAAAAAAAAAACAATTGAACAACTAAACCTTACCATTTTTAACTTATCCACTAGCGAAGAAACTTTCACAGCCAAATGTGTTTTAGCCCTACTCAAATAAAATATGTATGCAGGAGCTGTACCGATTATGAACAGGCAAGGTATCCAGATTGGGATGATCCATAGAAAGCAATTCGTAAATTCAGGAGTTTCGTTCCTCCAAAAATCTGTATCATTCTATAAAATTTAGCAGACTAAAAGTAACATAAAGATGAATAAAAGTTTACTTAATTTTTTACCCAAAATTGTCCTCCACAAAATTTTTCAAAAAACCTATCCATTCTCTTGTACAAAAGACTTTTTCAATAAGTTTGAAACAATTTCAGAGTTATGTCGTGGTTATAAACATGTGCATTGAGTCGTAATAAGCTAATAAATATAACAAATGAACGTAAATATAACGCTATTTTATTTATATATTAATTCTCCTTACTTAAAATTCCTAATACTTTAAAATTTGTAGCAAGTCCCCTTGTTACTTGAATAATACTGAAAACAACTAATGAACTGTACTCAGAGCAATAATAATTTAACGCTTACACTGGTGTTTAATTTTGTAAAAACAAAATGTAGATGACTTTAATTTCTTAGATGAAATGATAGCTTCTATAGCCATACATTTTCGTCAAAAGGCTCGCACCTACATATATTGTGATAGTTGCATATGACCTGTGCTGGTGCTCGTGCGTGAGTTATGTAATTAATTCATTATAAGTTTAGTATGCATATAACGCATGTATATGCGTGCATGTATAAATATTTGAAATATTTACATATATATATATATATATATATATATATTTATATATTTAAATATATAATGCAATTATTAATAAAAACCACAGCATGTTCCGCATTAGTTACACGCAATATATATATATATATATATATATATATATATATATATATATATATGTATTTACAATGTTCTATAAATTCTATTGCCAACACACACACACACACACACACATATATATATATATATATATATATATATATATATATATATATATATATATGTAGTATATACGCGACCAACTTGTCCAAAAAATATATACAAAAAAAATTTTAATGCAGAAAGAAAAAGAAAGAAAAAAGAGCAAGAGAAAGAAAGAGAGAGAAAAGAGAGAAATTAAAAGCAGAGCTAAGAATGGTAGGCTTCGCTTGTACGCCTGAAATGATACATGACTGTATTTATTGATGACGTTTTATAACTTTTATTCTAAACACTTTCTCTGTTAATAGGTGGGCAAACATGAGCATTTAAAGATTATTGGGAAAAAATCATAAAGACATGTCACAGCTCGGCGTGAATGAAGTTGAAAGTTGCGTAGAATAGTAAAAACAAAAAATTGATGTTATAGTTTGTGAGTTCTTCAATGAATAGACTTTTGAAAAATTTTAGGTTAATTATGAATTTCAAAATTTCAAAGTCTTAAATTGTCCATCTTTTAAAGAATAAACGCAGACTGTGAGTAGTTTTGACTTTTCGTATCAATGATGTCAACCATCTCTCAAAACTCCTTGGTCCATATGAAGAACCCTGCATTATCGGTTTAAATTGTTGAGAACAATCATTAAAACTGAGATGAGAATTATATAAAACAAGTTAAAACAAAAAAGAACTATAAAAAACAATGAAATAACAACAGTTAACCTGTCACAACTGGCTGTTGAAGACATGCGGTGTGCTATGATGATTACGGTACAATCTTTGAACTCCCTGCTGATCGTCGACTGAATTAATTTGTCCGTCTCAACGTCTACGGCTGATGAAGTAACACATTTCAAATGCAGTGCAGTACAAGTTTCAAATAAGCTTTGGTCGTAAAAAGTTTACAATGCTAGAACTTAAAAAATGAACTTTTATGATTAAATGTTAAATTTTTAGTGTAATTTTTCTTGGAGAAACTTTCCAAATGTATTTCACTGAATGATGCTAACCAGCAGTAGCTTCGTCCAAGATAAGGATTGAAGTTTTGTGGAGCAGAGTTCGAGCCAGGCACAGAAGCTGACGTTGGCCAACACTATATGGGACAGTAATGTGGAGTAATCATTGAAAAAATCATTTATTGCTTAATTTCAACAAATGAACCTTAAAATTTTTTACAAGTAAATTAGATTTACAAGCAAAAATTTAAGCATTTAAACAAGTTGACATTTTAAAAAAATAAGCATAAAATTTTTTTTATTTGTCATCAAATGTACATTAAAACAAAATAAAACATTTCGTAAAACTACAGAAAACATTGAAGTCTTGTAACCCCACCTAAAATTGTTACCATTGGCTTCGCAATAGAAATCAAGTTGACCGGGCAGCGACTTGATGACATGAAGCAAACTGACCTGCTCCAGTGCTTTCCAGATAACTGCATCACTCCCCTTATGCTCAGATGTCGGGTCGAGGTTCATTCTTATCGTGTCACTGAATATGAACGGGTCCTGCCGTTGCGTAAGAATGCATTTCATTACAAGCTTTTAAATTTTAATGTCCCAATATATTTTTATGCGTCAAAAATCCTGTAAGATTTGATTGAAGCATCGAACAAGTTTTTTTCGCCGAAATGAAAAATAACGCACACTTTGAGTTTTGTGCAAAAATACCGTTCATCTAAGCAGGTTGACCATTAACAGAAAATCATTGAACCACAAGTTTCAACTATAATAAACATTGGAAATATAGACATATCTCATTACCTGTGATAATACTGAAAAGTTTGATCTTAATATCTTTAATGGCAACTTGGAGATGTCATAATTATCTACGTAGATGGAACCTTCAGACTGACTGAAACGGAAGAGAGCTGAGATCAAAGAACTCTTGCCGGCCCCTGTACTACCCATGATGCCAACCTGCATGTTTCATAAGGACATAAACCCTAACTCTAAAAAACACAACACTAACCTTTTCTCTTGGCTTTATAATTAAGTTGATGTTCTTAAGGGCATAGTTCAGTTCTTCTCGATATTTCATGCTGTATTTTATGAATTCAATTTTACCATCGTGAAAAATTATGCTTGGAGATAACTTTTTCTTTGTTTGTTGCTTTCCTAAACAAAATTTTTAACTTTTTATCAATTTGTTGAATTATTAATCAGTGTATGAACGAATTATAAAACACCGCGTTTTTCTTTAATTCTAATCTTAGTAGTTAATGATCATTAATATTGTTATATAAAAAAAAGAATATTTATCAATTAAAAAACAATGCATTAATTACCGTCATCCTCGTCGTCGTCGTCGTAACTCTCCACCTCAATCTTAAAGTACTCTTTCATTCTTTCCAGTGACACCATGGCTATTTTGATGGAGGAGAACACGATGATCAGGCGAGAAAGCGTGAACGAATCCTTAATTAATATGTATGCATCCAATTGTTATTTTTAAAAAACTACAATACAAATGACAAGATAATACAAATAACAATGCAAATGACAAACAATACAAATAGCAATCCAAATAACAATACGATAGAAATAACAATAGGAATAACAAAATGAACTTACGTGAAAGGTTGACGCCATGCAGTAGCCAACGATGGATCCAGACAGTGAATGACGACCGATAATTGAGAAGATGCCAGCAAATAGCGTCAATGCCGCTCCTATTAGCCCTAAATTGACACCAAGCCATCTACAGTTCAAAATAAAATGTAGTATTGTACGACAACCGACGAAAAAGAGTTCAACAAAACCTGTCAGCAGCATTGATAGCGCATTCGTATGAAATGTTCTCATTGACCAGTTTTTCAAACTTCCGCACAAACATCTTTTGCTTGTTGAAAGCTTTTATCGATGCCAGTCCATCAACAGTCTCACAGACGTGTGTGTAAATGGGAGAGCGAGAATTTGAACTCAACCACTTCAACTGGCAGACAGTCGGTAGGTAGTAGTGCTGATTCAGCAAACAAAAATTTATTTATTTTTATTCGAGTTAAGAAAATTTTTTTCTTCAAAATACAAACTTGAAGTGCAAAAAAGAAGAAAAGAAGGATGAGAACCACGGAGAAATACAAAGGAATGGTGATGACAACAACGACAAGGGTTCCCACGAATGAGGTCAGGTGATAAATAATTCGATGAGTTAGATCGGCCAATGTCAAGTCGAGAACGTCCAAATCTTTTGAAAACCTTCATCGGAAAATAACATCGACGTTGTTTCTATTTAATAATTTTCATCTTAACATGGAGGTCACTTTTTATACTTTACCTAAACCGTTTAAATGCGATTGTCTTGAAATATTAAAATTATTATTCAGAAAGCCAAATAAGTTTACAAAAATTTGATGTCAGATCAAATATTTTTACCCATACTTGTTACTCATTTTTTCAAATAATTTATTTTATAAGTCAATGGCAAACATTGAAAAAAATGAAATGATTTCAGAAACAAATGAAATAAATTTTGAAATGAATTCTGAAATAATTGAAACGGTGACCTATTGATGATCTGACCGGAAGATACGCCGTAGTAGAAGGTCATTGTTGACCGAATGATGCGACGTGCCATGGATGAATGCATTGTTTCAGAAGCATTTATTAATGTCTTGGCTCGCGTAATCGAGTACATGAATAAGAAGGCAGCTGTGAAAAGCATTCGCTCTAACTCATTTAATTTTAACCAACGGTCACAATTATGTACACATAGACACACTTATAGAAATATTTTATGTGTAAACGAAGTGCCTTATGAATTCAACAATTGTGAAACCGAAGAGATAAAAATGTTGCGTCATGAAGCAATTATTTAAAAGCAAGAGATCAATATATTCGCAAAAAAATAAATAAGTCAAAAACTACTGCTGACCGTGTCCAAGTAACAAAAGTCCGTAGAAACGAATATAATAATTGACAAGACTTGTGTAGGTCGGATCAATTGGCTTAACATTGTTTAGCTGGACGGTAACATTGCTGAAGTAAGTGCCAAATGTATTTTGATTTGATCCATTTTGGAAGTTGCTAAAATTATTATATAAATATAAAAGTTGTTTATCAGCTGTCCAATAGGTAATCCAAACGTGAGACATGGTTTGAAATGCCTTGAAAATTATGAAACAAGCAACTGATATAAAGGCCCATTTGAATTTCAGCAATTTCAAATAAAACTTATAAGATGACCAAGTTATCTGCGTGTTAAAAAGTTAATAAAATAATTTTTATAAATCTGTTACAAAATTTTTTTAAATGACTTATTTTCAAAGTTATTTTAACCATTTGTACGACCTTTCCAGTTAACTCTTTGTTATAATCCAAGCCCGTGTCACATTTGTCATTTGATTCGTAAGGCCTTTAGGAGGAGAAATAAAAAGTAAAGTTTTAAGAGCAAATATTCTTAAATGAAATAGTCGGAAAAAATAAAACCAGTCGTTATTCTTTTCACTCTGTATATTATTTTTGTCAACTTTTCTGAAACTTTTCAAAACTTTATTTATATATCTGCCGTTGTTCATGAGTTGCTGGTAGGTGCCTTGCTCAACGATACAACCTCCATCCAGCACAACAACCTGGTCGACATGGGGGAGTATGTTCACTGCATGAGTCACTAACAACCTGGTCTGAGTTGTATCAAATACAACATCATCAGTGGTTATAAATTGTGGAACTATTTTTTTAAAATGATTAATAAACTTCCATATTTAGCCGAGTGAACCTTGTTTTTGAGCATGCCGTGTGGTCCGATGAGGCTGTCGAAGATGTGCGTGGCGACGTGTGAGTCAACAGCACTGAGTGGATCGTCGAACAGGTACACGTCACAGTCCTGGTAGATGCTTCGGGCCAAGCTCACTCGTTGCTTCTGACCACCGCTCAAGTTTATGCCCTTTTAAAATATGTTGATTCATGCTTTAAAAAATAAACGCTGCTGTTTTAGGTTAGATTCAGCCAGTGATGGGCATTCAAAAAATGTTTTACACTAAAGTTTCAAACAAATTGAAAAATTGATCACACGATTAAATTTTCACTTTTTCGCCAATTTGTGTTAAGTCTCCAGCCGGCAACTGAAGAATGTCTTCGGCGAGTGCACACGCGTTAACTACTTCATTGAACTTCTCTTCGTCGTACGCCTCACCCAGCAGAATGTTGTCTCGCAGAGATGCGTTCATGATCCACGCTTGTTGGGGCACGTAACCCAGTCGACCCTGATGTGAAATCAAACCGTTTTTTTTTAATTTGTTTTGGTTTTGGAATTAACTGATTAATTAATTAATTTGTCGTAAAAAAGATATGTAACACTCACCTTCATTTGAATTTGACCGTAAGCTAGAATCAAATCTCCCAGAATAGCCGATAATAGGGTTGACTTTCCTGAGCCAACTTGACCGACAACAGCCGTCAACGAATTGTCCACTATGTTTAAATTGATGCTGTCGCGGGTCAGGCACAGATCGTGTTAAACTGTTACAATTTATTTTCTCTTAAATTCAACATTTATACTTTCTTACTTTTCGAGAGCCAGATGTCCATTTTTAAATCGGTTGAATGAAGCCCATGATATTTTCAATGCAAATTCTCCTTAATGGAAAATGTACAAAACTCTAAACAGTAATTTTCAAATTGGGTAAATAAGTAGCATAAATATTTTACGATCATATGTAGATACGACACTTACCATTTGTAGGCAGTTTTCCGACATAAAACGATCGATTTGGCAATTTTAGAAATTTTTCTATTCGATCCATGGCAACTTGGTTCTGTAAATGTTAATTTCACAATAATTTGCTCAATAAATACGGAACAATTCAATGAAGTTGAAACTATTATATTACATCAGTGACAAAAATGTGAAGCAAAATGTTTTTCAGATGTTCATCACTGTCTCATGTCACAAAAAAGAAGTGTTAAGATTGTGAATGGTGTGCTTGAATGTCGAGTTGAATGCATTAAATTTAAAATAATTGTTCATAAGACAGTAATGATATTCTTAAAAACGGAGTCTTCAATTCTAGCTGCTATTGCATTCAGGATCACTTCATCAAGGACGCCACTGGTTAAATAATGCCACATTCAAATTTCAAATATGTTCAAATTTCTAAAATTTTCAGATCTGAATATCACCATAATTTTTTTTACAGTTCCCAGTGATTTGATGCAACAAATTATTTGAAAAAATGTCAGACATAAAGAGTTAGTTGAGTTCTAAAATAATCAACCAGCCTTTGCAGAGATGTTGATAATTATAGGCACCAAGAAGAATTCGTGTTGGATGACGTTGAACATCGCAAATGACGTGAAAGCTGTTTTAGCGCTCAAGTACCCGACGTAATAGGAATACACGGCAAACGTTGCAAATGTTATCTGAAAAAAATTCCACACAAAAATTTTTGTGGGAGTGTGCAAAGATTTTATGGGCAAAACAGTATAAAATGAGTGAGGTGGATGAAATTTTAAATAAAAATGCTAGGAATAATTTTACAACGTTATATATTATCAGTTTTATCTGCTGATTGCGATTATTAATAGCAAGAAAATTAGGTTAGTTAAAAACGTGGTAATGAACATAACAATTTAAGAAAATTAAAATAAACTAAAATAACGTTGTAAATGTTAATTTAGATATTCAAACTATTAATATCTTTAAAAGGAAAAACCCAACTGACCAAATTAGGAATAAATAATGAAATTGTAAAGTTGGCGCCACTAAGATATAGTACATGTTGTAAACTATTGAGTTCCCTCTTTCGAAGATCCGCCAATTTCTTCTCAAAAAAGTTCTCCCAAGTGTACAACTTCAACAACTATTTTTATAAACGATGATTCGTGTTAAATTCAATTGAAGAATACGAGTATTTGATAATACTGAACAGCTTGAATTTTGCGAAAAAAGAATTCGTTAATTTAAAATGATCTACAATAATCCAACTGAAATATTATATAATGAAAACTGCAAATGTAGTTCAATTGGCTGGTCAGTTTTTGTAAACAAAATTTAGGATTTAAAAAAAAAAATAAATCACTAAGACTTAAAATTTTTGATGCCACTTAGGACAAATTGTTTAATTGTTTAATTTGAAAACGTTTAACCTCTGTATAACATGTTATATATATACATTTTGTGATATTATATTGACTTTCTTTTTTCAATCTTTTAAATTACCTGAATCTATGATCATGAATCATGAAATGTTTGTAGTTCTCTAATTGTTTTGTATGTAGATAGTTAAACGTTATGAGATAAAAATAGCAAACAAACAACCTTTATATTGTTTATGATTTCAGATAGCAGTTTCAGTCTTTTGTCTTTCCATTTAATTTGCGAGATCTTTTAAAAAATACGATGTAATACTTTTAAAAAATACACATGTATATCTTCCGAAATTTAAAAATTTTTTTATTTTATAAATTCACTAATTAAATTAATGATAAACCAACCTGGAAATTTTTAAGAATGTTTGAAATGATGATTGCTGTGGTGAGAACAAAAATTGTGATGCCGATGAATGCGAAGATTGCACTTCCGAGTAGATACCACTGTACGATAATTGCAACGCATACTTGAAGTGGAATTGCCCAGATGAGACCGATATTTGCAAAAAACTCACCCGCGATGTAAACATCTGTTGAGAGCAAGTTAATCACTTCACCAGTTGTCGTGCCTGTAATACTTTCTTTCGTTCCGGAAGAACTTTCACCGTACCTATTCAAGAGCATCAACTGCAAAATTATTTGAACGAATTTTAATATAATTTCGATATAAATAAAAATTTAGAACATAAAAATAATCTAAATTTTTAAAAATGACAAATCAAACATTTAGTTATTATTTTCATAAAATAGGATAAACAGAGTAATCGTTCATGATATTTTTCTTCATTAAAAGCAGAATAATGTAATAAGCGACAATTCTTTAACTTTTTTTACAAAAACCAAACAATATTTAAATAAAAATTTAGTTTTCATATTTCAATGGAATAAATAACAAACCTTCCGATAGATTGCTGACGTCAGCGTAGAAGTAGTTGCTAAGTTGACTTCAGTAGAGACAAACAACTTCCTTTGAAATGACATCGACTCCAAAATGTAGCAGGCAAACATCGCCGAGACTATTAGAACTCCATTCCACGTTGGCATGGAGCGGTTTTCAATAAATTGAATGAACACACTTCAGATTTTAAAAATTTTTACTTTGCATTATTTATTGCAACAGTTAAACAAATTCATTTATACTTCAGTAAAAATGGCATAACGTTCATGCATATAAGATCCAGAAAAAGATATAAACTGATTAGGAATATCTTGGATGCAAACAGCCGAATCAAAGTAAAAGTTAAAGAGGATCTGCATTGAATTTAAAGTTATGTTTAAATCAATAGCTCATGAGTTGTTGACATCAATTAAAATTATTGCCATCGACCTGCTAGAGCTCCAAAGTTGATCGAAATTAACTCTACAGCATCCAGCTTCCAAATCGGGTTTCACTCTCCACAAATCACAGATGGACAAACTCCTTTTGTAGCCTTTTACTAACAAGCTGTATCCAAAATAAGAAATACAAAATATTATTGTTGGAAATTAATTTTTTTCTATTAATTCTACGACACATATAATAAATTGTTAATATCGTTCGAAATACGTTCGCAGAACACAAGAAATATTTTATTTGATTAATATGGTCAGTTCTAAGAAAGTTTTATTGT